ATGCCGGAAACACAACGTAAACGACAAATTCAACCAAAACAATGAAACTATACACTAGCACCATCTTAAAACTACTATTCCATCTGCACATATCTGAAGTCCAAATTAACCCAGCAAACTTAGGTTTGTTTTATATGACAAAAGTCCGTTACATTCTATGATTGCATCTACATTTTAAATTGATGCACATGCAAGATACTTGGGCTTTACTGCTATAGATTTCCTTGATGACAGAGACTTTTTGAAAAGAAGGACATACATCACTCCAACACACGTCTAGCACAGGCCCTGTGTGCATCTGCTGAGCCTTCGGAATTGTTTGTCCACTATCCTGAACTTCCCAACACCGCACCTAAAGAGTCATAGATACAGATGTATTAAAATACTATTAATTTGGAGTACCAAGAATGCATAATTGTGTTACAGAAATGAAGCACATCCTGTCCCTTGAAAACCTTACCCTTAATTTAGCACAAAGAATTCATATTTTAATAGACATGAAAAGAGTGGAGAGGATGCAGGTAAGAGAAGAAAGGCTTACAATAATAAATGACACAACTGCTACTCATTGAAAACCTACTGGACTGGGGTCCCTTGACACAAGCTGAAGAATGTCTAAGTTGAGGATCCCAAATGGCTCAGGAATGGGGGAGCCACTGAACTGCTCAGCCCTGACAACCTGGAAGCAATGCTGCTTTGCTTCACACGTCGAGGAACCTTGGCTGGTAGAGTGCATTTTCAGGATTACTCTTTCGCAACTTTGCATCTAAATTCCACCTAGTTCCCACATCAGTTGTCTTAATCCTTTTGCTGTTCTGGCATTCAGTACTTACATCGTTTGCCCAGGATCCTGCAATAAGGAAGTTACCCGGCAATGTTGGGGGACTGAAAGCTAAACAAGAAATGCTGTCATCAGGTGGAGACGTAACTTCAATATCCTGTAAAAGAAAGTGTTACACATATCGATACACTGAAGAAGTATTTGCTCGTAAACTCAAAAACATACTGTGAACTACTGAATTTTATACATGCACACCTGAAAATTAATACAAAAACTGAGAATAAAATACACCTTGATTTTACTTTGACAGATATAGCTGAAATACGTTAATGCAGTGCAGATTTTATCAAGAGGAAGAAATCACTTGTGCACAGATTAACAAGGTTCCTGCAATAGTTCCCTGCTCCTCTTTGCCTCCCATCTCAACGCCCTTTCACATGCAACTTGCCCAGCTGTGCACAAAACAGCCACCCATTCAGCAGCCTGAATATAATCCATTTTGGACACATATAGGCCACATCCAGATGAGTGTGGCCATATGGTATGTGGCGCCCCAAACACGTCTGTGGTGCCACATACCGCACAGTCAGGTGTTTTTCGCACTGCAATGGCATGCTGCCCATGTGTGCTCTGCTCCACTTTTTCTTTCCGGGGGTTGTTTTGACCGCTGGATATTCAGGGGTCAAAAAATGCCTGTGGAGGGGAAAAAAAAGGAGCGGAGCAGCATGTGCACAGGCAGCGTGTGCCACTCAAAAGCGGAGCCAGGCCGCCTGAACTATGCTCTGGCTGCTGACCAGGCTCCGTGCAGAACTGCCGCTGTTGCAGCCCTGAAAGGCCCCCAGGTAAGGCTCCCCTACCACACCCAGGGTAATTTGCTGTGCACCAAAGCACATGTAGCACATGCGTTCCCTGGACCAAGGTGCAATGCCGCTACTTGTCCCCAGGGAACCAAACGTCCATGCTTGTCTGGATGCTGCCATAGGATGCAGACAGAAGTGCAGCTCCCAGCTGTAACTCAGAACAATTTCTGAAAAGTGTTCTGAGTTACAGCATTACCCTGGACCAAACAGAAGTTTACTGTTGGTTCCGGGAGCTGCGGGCTGGGAGCCTGCAGCCAGGTCCTCTGCCAGAGCCCTCTATTTTTAAAAGGGGAGGGAAGAAAGGCAGCAGTGGGAGCTCATTCTTGGGGCTCCCCAGCTGGGGCTGAAGGGTGGGTAAATTGGAGCCCCCCCACCTGAGAGTGGCTCAAATACACCTGCCCCACCCTCTGGGGGGGCTGAAAGCCCCCCAGATTTAACTCCTTCCACTCCCTTTCCCTCCTCCCATTCTGAAAGTAGTGACAGGCTGGGAGGCAGCAGACACAAGTTACAGAAGACGCTCCATTTTGAAATGTCTTTACCTGATACCCCATGCAGTGAGGGTTCAGATTTTCACCTAATCAGGCATTTTTGAAGCTGTTTGTAGCTGTGTGCTTGTGTTTAATCACAGCTATAAACTGTTTTCAGTGGCCAGATCAGGTGAAAATTGTCACTTCCGTCTGCACCCATAATTCAAATAACAGCACACACATCTGCACACCTATCTTGTCTGAAAGGTCAGGGCCTTTATGTTCCTGGAAATAACATGCTGTCCCAATTAGACTGCCCTAACGACCACTGTGGCTAATCTATGCTAAGAGAAACATGCTTATGAACTACATCTCAATGCTATTGGGGTGCCAGGGTTTCCTGGGAGCATAGGAGCTCGTCATGCCTCACCACAGCATGCCAGTCAGGACGGTGAACCAGACTGTGCCATTTAAGGTGGACATGAAAACGGACCCACCCTGTACAATTACAAACCACTTCCTGGTCCAGCTGGCAGAGGCAGGAAGACAGATGCTCTCTGAGCCAGCTCTTGGTAACAGGGAAGGAGGCAGCAGCGTTGCCAGATCTTACATATGAATTATCATATGAGAAGCTCAAAATTACGGTATTTGCTGGAACACTATTGTACACTGAAAAAAATGCAAATAAATCTTTTAATTTACTTTATAAATTAAAAAACTCGCAGCTGGTAAAGTGAACAAAACGCTGGCTTGCATCCATAGATGCTTCTCAAGCAAATCCCAGGACGTACTTGGCCTTGGTGAGGCCGCAGCTGGAGTATTGCATCCAATTTTGGGCTCCACAATTCAAAAAAGGATGTGGAGGAGCTTGAGGGAGTGCAGAGGAGAGCCACGCGCATGACCAGAGGGCAGGAGAACAGGCCTCATGAGGAGAGGCTGAGAGCCACGGGACTCTTCAGCCTGGAGAAGTGCAGGCTCAGGGGGGACCTGGTGGCTGCCTATAAGTACGTAAGGGGCGTGCATCAGGATCTGGGGGAACGCCTGTTCGCCACAGTGCCCCCCGAGGGATTTCAAGGTCCAACAGTCAAAGACTCCTGCAAGACCGTTTTAGGCGGGACACAAGGGAAAACCTCTTTGCTGTCCGAGCCCCAAGGCCTGGAATAGACTCCCCGCGGAGGCAGTGCAAGCCCCTACTCCGGGCTCTTAAGAAACGTTTGGACACCTATCCGCTGGGATCCTTTGACCCCAGCTGACTTCCTGCCCCTGGGACGGGGGGCCGGACTCGATGATCTCCCGAGGTCGCTTCCAGCCCTAACGTCTATGAAATCTATGAAACATTCTTCACTATAAGTCGGACAGCGAGCGCGTGAGAACCGGGCCCTTAAAGTCGCCTTTTATTTCGAGGCAAGCCGTCCGAAGAAAGCACCGACAGCAAACCCACAGGTGGGTTCGGACTCTCCGCGAACAACTCGAGTTTCGCACACGCCGCCGAGGAACAGGCGCCTCCATCTCCCTCCGCGCAAAATAACGTTGATTTCTACCCTCTTTTAATTTCCCCTGAGCCTGAAAAGGGGGCGCAGGCACCCAAAAGCTTGCAAAAAAAAAAAAAGGTAATTTCTTAGCTGGCCTCATCAAAGGTCTCCTGGAAACAAAATCTGCATCTTGAAGAGCGATGGCGCGTGGACTGACAGGGTAGGAGGGTTGACGTGCCCGTGCAAGGGGAGGAGCAGGCGCGCCGGCCACCCTACCTTCATGGGGTTGTGGTTGTCCGCGGCGGTGCTGCCGAACATGCTGGTGCCGC